CTTCCCCCCTCGGCTCCACAACAACCTTTGATCGCGCCGCCTTTTGTGTGGCTTCTTCTCTGCAGGCAGGGAGAGCCTCTCTAGCCGCCTCTTTTCTTTCTTCGCATCTGAGGCAGCCCAGAGCTTGACAATCATCCACTAGTATTTGTTTGGATTGAGAACCTTGTTCACTATTACCCCCTCGGTATATTGCTCCACCAATAGTTGTTTTCCCTCAATCTCCGAGGTTAAGGAACAAATCCAGAGATGCACCGAATTTGACCCCTTACAAACTTTGTAAGTCGGCCAGACTTGGACCAAAATCGAACCGATATTTCGAGTCCTTTATTTTCTTCTCAAGGTCGGTCAGATGAAACTTCTGGGATGATGTGAAAATCACGTAGCCGTCCGTCTCGACCCTAAAGGAGAACATATAAGAGAAAAGCTCATGAGTCCATGGGATCTCTATTCGCTAGTAGTAAACTACATATGATATAATCACCGCTATTGAGTTCGGATTGACCTGAGTAGGAATCACGCTGTAATGATTCATAATGCAACGGAGCTCCTTGCAGAGCAGCAACTAGAGACCCTATTGGAATTAGTTTCAATAGAAGACCAGGTAACTCCCGAAATCGTCAGTCGTCCGATTGTCCGGACTGACAATGCGTGAATGAATCTCTGCATGCAAAACACAACCCTCTTCAAGCGAGGCAGCATTAGCAATGGATAAAGCAGATCGCTCAGCCATGCGAAGGGTCCCGAACTATTCCAGATAATACTTGCTTGCTATGGGACCAAAAGTTAGAGGATCAAACAGAAGAAAACGTAGTTGACCAAAGGAAAGAAGGAAAAGAGATTGAATGCGTAGAAAAATGCAGCTATTAACCCTTATATATATGGTCGCTCAGTGGAAGTGCAAACACCTCGATACAGCCATGCACAAACTTCAAAAATCAAAATCACATCAGCACAGAAATCAAGAAAAAACTGAAGGCATAAATTAAACTTTTGTGAAAATTAATAAAAAAACACATTTTTATTCAGAAATAAAATATTTTACAAGTGGGTCCTCAACCACCTCGGCCGAGACAAAGCCCCCCGCAAACTAATTTCTCATACAACACGTGCCCTTTGAACCTAAATCTATCTAGCACCGTCGGATTGGTCTTAAGCCTACAGGACCGAAAAGTCGACTGAATGTCAGTCAGCTCCACCCGAAGAGTCGCCAACTCGATCGAGTGCTCCAGCATTCGGGCCTCCGACTCCTCCCGAAGCGCTTCCACCTTCGGATCTGTTGCGAGCCACTGGTTCCCTTTCAGGGCCCACTTGGGGCCGTCCAGAACATTGGCTTGCTCCTCTCTGCTCAATGCCCAGGTCGTGGTCCCCCCAACTGCACCAAAAATGGGAACACGGGCGGCACCTGATAGCAGTGAATCGACGCTCAAATCACCATCACTTGCATCAACGAACAAGTGTTAGCTAAAAGGAGCTTACACTCACAACAGATTATCATTGCATGCCAAGGGCTCTATATAAATTGGACCACCGGAACGGACGATAACTCTCACTAGGCCTTGGTCGGGCTCATACAGCCCCTTAATCAAAGTCTGGTTCCAGAACAGAAGGTCCATTTTCTTGAAGAGCACCTTTTGATTTATCCCCAATGACTAATTTCAGAATTGCAGACCTTTGATCAGAGATCAACAAGGCAATCCCTGAGCAGGCTACACAGCCGGCTGAGTGCTAGCCGCAACAAGAGCAGGGGTTGGCACACCAGCAGATTGGCCTCCTTCCTTTTGTAGAAGGGTCAGCAAGTCTGACAATGCGACTTAATCTCCAGGGCATTCTACTCGCTTCTTCTTATAAGCAAGTTGCTTAACTCACATCACACCTTTAGAACAATCTCCTTCTGCAGGCCTCTTCATCATCATAGGTTTCTTCTCACCCTTGGGTCGGCTCTCTTCGCTCGACTTCTTTGCTCCAGTCTTCTCACCCTCAAAACGGCTGTCTCCCTCCGAGATCTTCTTCCTCTCAAGCTCTTTCTCCTGGCAAGCACATGACGCAGTGTTTCCAAAGGCTTTTGCAAGTATTTCCTTGGTAATATGATTAGCTAGGGTAATTTGGACGCTTTCCATGGAGACGCTCTGGAATCCATACAACTGAATAACGCGCTCTCAAACGATGAGGATAACGAAAATGTCAATCGTGTTCTATTTATAGAAGACAATGAGCACAAAAGTTCTCGGAGTTCAATTATTAAAGTACTAAATATGAAAATAAATGAATCTACTATTTACTTTAACTTATTTTGTTTTTATAGCAGTGTAACTTTCAAGAAGCAAGAAAATCGGGTAACTAAAGATATACTTCAAAAATACCTAAGCAAGAATTTCAAGAAAATTATACAAACTATAAAACAAAAATACGGTCATGGATGGTCCATCAAAAGGAGCAATGACCATGTCAGCAGAAAACCAAATAACCCCGTTGACCAGCCACGGCTCCTTCAAAGCAGAAGTCGGGTCGACCAACAAAGGTTGTCTGGTCAAAGATCAAAACCTATTTAACTGAGAAGAGTCTGTCCAACAATACTCCAAATATCATCAGACAACCCGCAAGAGTATTCCTCTAAGACCCTTCAGAAGGCCTACGGGCATCATCACTGAATATTCATCGGGCCCCCGAGATGGATCTCTTGTCAAAAGGAGTAGAATACTAGTGGGATTAAGACATTTCACCCTCTACCTAATTCCTAGTTCTACCCCAACAACATTAGTTTCCCATCCAAGGTCCAACAATCGACAGTCAAATTTAGACAACTGAATGATTGAACCAAGCTAATGGAATAAAATTCGAACGATAGGGCCGACTTTGCCCCAAGGTAGCTGAGTTCGTTGAATGTACCTGGCTGACTCAAGGATTAGAGGCCCTAGTCGGCCGAACAATCAGGTAGTCAAACCTTAGGCTCATTTATTTTCTATATGCCTGAAATATCATGTAACACCCCCATAAAATCAGTGGCAACCATGTAAATTTCCAATGTATACCCCCACGGCCTATAAATAGAGGGTCATTTCTTCAGTAAAGGGTTAATAAAGGATCTTTAAAAGAATCAGATTCTTACTGTGCAACCTCTTTCATTCTCTCTTTCTATCTCCTACTTTTATGCTCTATTCCTTGGGTGTGATTCAGAAGACAGATTCGGATTTAACACTTCCATTGATGAAAAGCAAGCTAGAGGTGTGCTGTTGTAGGGTGCAATCTCTTCTTGGATGGATTGTAAACTGGTGATGAACAACTGTAGGATGCAACTTGTCCTTAGATGGAAATAGGGTTGGCGATATGCTACTGCTTGTGGAACATAGGCTTTAAGAAAGAAAGAAAATTAAATGGACAGTCCATCAGATATCCTTAACTACTGTTATAGTACTGAAACTATTTTTTTTCAGGAAATATGTGATATAAAAGGCCATTCAGCTAAGTTATAAGCACACAATGATGAATTATTCTTTTCTCTCCTACTATTTCTTCCACTTTAACATCATAACTATGTGCTGAAAATGGAATCATTCATCATAACTATTAAGTCCTTAACAGGCTCAGCAAAATTGGGTTATTGAAAGCAAACATGTTTATTTGCATGATCGTCATTTACTTGATGTATCCCAAAGATTAACGTTCCACGAGAATGTTCCATGTGATTTGAGGAGAGTTTATATTGAATGACTATTATCTTAGAAATGAAATCTCTTCTACCTTTCTTTGGTAAAGTAACCGCCCTCTCAGTCTTAATCTATGGCAGTCCTTTCCTTTTTACCCCTAAATTTTATTAGTTCTATGTTTTGTCTATTTATTTAATACTAATGACAAACTCTCTCCTAAAATAGAATTGTTAAAATTAATTAAATAAGGGTAGGGGAAGAAGGAAAGAGAAGCTTGTATCAATTAATTAAAATCCACATCAGCTTACCAATTTAGAAACATAAAGCCATTCAAATGTTTCTTTACCATTTAATCACATATTTTTTCAGACTACATTGGTACTCATATGCCCTTCATTTACTCAAAGATTGATGTCATCATATAATAAGGTGAGTTAGCAAGCATTCATTAAATAACCCGATTCTGTACCGCTCATTTACAAAATTAAATCCAGTAAATGACATCAAGTATATAGCATTTTAACAATAACTCATATTATCCCATAAAAGTTCTTTTAAGTACTGATGATTGAACATGGAGGGCAACCATGCACGATAGAATCAAATTAAATGAATTTTGAGATAACATTCATTCAAAATATAAAAAAACATGCAAGATTAAAAAAAGAAGTAATAATAGTTACGTTAAAGTTAACTGTTATTTTAAACTAGTCATTTTAGATTTTACCATCACTAAGAAAACCAAAATATGAGACAGTTGTGCCGAAGTGAATACGTCCAGTCTGGATCCATTCAACTGCAAGAATGTCCATTGCTGTAAGCCCTCCCTGTATGAAAATAAAAAAAAGGAAATGGTTTTAACAAACAACCTCCCTATTTATGCAATCACAGAAACAAAAAACTTTTTTATTAACACAACTACAGTTTAAACAAAGTTCAGAAATCTGGACCAGATAATGAACTGGTAGTGGAAGAGAATCAAGGTTCACCGGTAGTGGAGGAGATTCAAGGTTCGACGATTGAACCAAGGGTTGAACGGAGTGATATCATAAATATAAAAAACATTAAATATAACTTAAAAGGCATAAAAACTAGATGGATTTCAGTATGGAAGGTCAACAGAAAGGGAAACATAACCAAGAAAATACAAAAGTGTAAGAAAAAAAAGCCAAAAACTAATAGTCATGCATATTTCACAAAAATTAAAGAAGAAAATGAAGCTGAGAATCATTAGAGCAAGACACATTCTTCAAGATTTCAAAAGATGCAAATCATTCTTCTTGATTTCCAATCAAAATATGACATAAGATAAGAAATTACACTTCAACTGGTTGATCGGTTCGACCGCTGGTCCTAGCTGGTTCACCGGTTTGACTGTCGGTTCCTACCAATTCTTTCCGATTCGATGCAGAGCCAGTTTTCAGCCCAACTAGAACTGGACCACCGACCGGTTCACGGTCGAACTGGTTGAAATGGCCAGTTCGGTCCGATTTTTAAAATGTTGAGTTTAAATCAAAACTTAATAATCATCATCACCATTAGCCTTAACCCAACAATTCGAGTCAAATTTATGAACTCATTTTTTAATCATTCCTATTGAGTCTTGCATGAGATACAAACTTTATGTTGTAGAGATTATCTTTATTCTGTCCTTTCATTTTTCCTATGCTTTCACTTTAATTTTACCTACTTAACTTATTAATATATTTTCTAATATCTGTTGTACATGCCTAAACAACATCTGTTTATTTCAATCATCTCAAAATAATTGACTAATACCACCATTTTTTAAAAATAATAAACTCTCACTTTTTTTTAATTTTGTCACATATCCCTAACTTGACGACCTCTGCCTTCTTTATATCCAGGCACTCGTATCCACAAAAGCAAGGACAGTGACAGTCTAATTGTAGTACTATAAAATTCAGCATTAAATATCTGCAGTGTTCTTTTACCGCAGAAGGCACCTAAAATAGTTCTCCATTTTAACCAAATTTATTTCTTGAAGCAATATCATGGTCCATATCTTCCTACATTCTTCTATATAAAATATTAAAGATAGATAAACCTAGCACACTGAGATATCACTTGATGCTTCATTTAAAAATAAAGCCTATGACAGAATACTTGAAATGAACATAAACCTCGCATTGTTTAAGGAAAAACAAATTTAATTAAAAAATAAATAAATACAACTTCTAAACTTTTACAAAATAATGCCAATCAAAAAAATTCCAAACTCCATGGGCCATATTTTAATATTAGGTAACCATTTGACCTTGAAAACTCCTTGGAAGGTCTCTTGGGGAATTGCAGCATTTGATATTATTATATGGTATAAAATTTTCTACTCTAAGAAATTCAATACTGACGAAGAGAAAATAAACTAAATATTATTATGTCAAAATTAATCAAATAAAAATTCACAAAGGAAGAGTACACCTCATATTTGCCAGCATCTAAAACTCTACTTTTTTAGAAAAGCAAAATCTGAGCTTTTAGAGAAAATGAAAATTTAAGCCTCAAATAACTTTTTTGCGCATAATTAAATGAGCTTGCTAGATTGAGCACTTTTACCAGAACAATTCAAACTGCTCTAATGAACATGCATTTTGGAATTGCCTGAAACATCCAGAAAATTAAAAAACAAATCATTTTTATTGCACCAATCAATTACTGCAGTTAAATATATAGCATGAACCACTTTTGAATCAAAATATTTTCTCAACTAGAGAGGAGTAGCCCTGAGTCATCATTGGTTTCACATTTACATGGGTAATAACTAACAGAATAGAATACATCTAGGTTTCTCAGTTTAGAACAAGACTTTAACTTGATCAAACAGAATGATAAAGAATTCATAGAGCCAACCCCAAACAATTATGATATCCCATTGATGATCATGAAGATAATAAATTGAGTTCTTACTGTTAATCAGACTATTAATAAAATCATTTATAAACAAATTTACTGATCCAAATTCCATCAGAACTGGATCCCTAAACTTGACACTAGAGTCATTTGGCTCCATTGTAGCCCCATTTGGGATTACCAACGTATTTGAGGTCAATGATTCTATTTCCATTATGCACAAAAATCACAAATGCTACTACAATGACCATCATATTTCGACTGATGGAGTTTGGACTTTGCCTCTAAGAGCAGCATTAATGGTTGGAAAGGCCCATTTCTTGAAGTTCGGTGAAAGTCAGGATCTTGTAGTGTCCTTTCGCCCCATTGTGGCAACAAGATCTTGGAGGTGTTCTGTAACTCTAAAGAGAAGGATGAACACAATCTTCATGAACTTCAAGAATACTCATAAAAAGCTATATAAAAGTTGGATGGAAAAGACTAAAACGAATAATGAGGTATACTGGGTGATTTAAATATTTTTTCGCATTTTAAACATTCTAATTAATGACAATGACCTGAAGGACGAAAAGGATTATGATCAAATTTGTTGATAAAAAATAAAAGCTCAAGGCCAAAATTTATCAGGTCAACCTTAGGTACCTAGGTTTACCTTGTATTGATCAAGTAAGTACAAAACACGTTTCACATATGAATTACATCCACCCAGTGTAACATAATCCATGTGCCTTGTTCGCTAGCTAGTGTGTAGGCTCTAAAAAAGGCTCCTCCCTTCTATAAATTAGAATAGAGTACATCTAGGAGGAATATTGACATAAACATGTTTTAAAACTTGATATTTAGTTTTTATTTATATTTGGGTCCAAAATTTTCTATAGGCTCAAACTCCCATACTAACTACCTCCTTTGCTCTTAAATTCAATCTTAATTAAAAATTTAGCAAGGCTTAACTGTAAAGATTTTGTTTTGCAAGTGATGTACATATTTTTATCCCGCCACATTATTTGTGAATAGTGGTAAAAGTTTTAGGCATGAAGGTAAACCTTCATCAAACTGGTTAGCAAGTGGATTCCACTCCAAAGAGTGAAGCCTTAATAGCCATAATCTCAAATTGAAAATTTGTGTTATAATTGTAGATAACATTCAAGGAGCTTTTTGTCACCATTTATTTTGAGTCAATATACAAACAATAACTTGTTAGGTTAGCAAACTTTAGTTTTCAATGTAAGCCTCTTTTGAAATCATGTTACCTCTTCGAAAAGAGGTCCCTAGGGAGCATGGATGCAAATATGCTAAAGAAAAACCTGTTTGGATGAAACCTTGGTTCTCTATGTTGGTTAAGAGCATGCTGAATGGCACAAAGGCGCAAAGCATGGCATGATGATTCAGAGGTACTTCATCAAACTCTTCATTACATATCAAATTGATAAATAAATAAAATGAAATCATGCAATTAGTCAATCAATTAAAATTCGGTTTAAGAAATCAATTCGTTAAAGAATATTTTTACATAAATAATCTTCATTAATCCAAAGACACTAAGATTTTCATTGCCAACAGATAAACAAAACACAATCTAATGAGATGACAATCGTTATGATCAATATCAGACCTTAATTAAGACTTTTTGCTCTACCCATACATCACGAATAGCTGTTGTGATGAAAACTCATAAATCGATTCGAGAAATCCAAAGCAAATAGCTTGAACAGAAACACACAAAGTAATAAAATACAAAAAATGCAAAGAGCACCAAGATTCAACGTGGAAAAACCCGAGAATAAGAAAAAAAAACGCGGAACCACACCACACGAAAAATTTCACTATGAAAATGAGAAGTATTGTATATATTAGAACACACTCAATCCTCTCGACCCACCTAAAACTCACAAACGCTCTCTCATTTCTCTTACACACAAGAAAATTAGCAGAAATCCAACCTAAACTTGCAACGCCGCTTAGCACTATTTGCATGCACCTCCCGCAACAAGAAATATGAAACTTAAAGTCTTGAAATTTAAAAATCGGTTACAAATGCCTGGGCGTCACCCTCACGCACCAAGCTTCCAGCCGCTTTCATTCGGAAATTTGGAGAAGAGTCTTCTGGGCGCCTAAGCTCCCCAACTGGCAATAGATTTTAACCTGGAAACTTTTGGTCGGGCGTCTAGGCATCCAATGGCCTTAAGCCACCTGCTTTGGCCTTGGGCTGCACACTACCAAGCTCAAGGGCGCCCCCCGGTCGATAGGTTTCCAGTTGCACTATTCTTGGGAGCTTTGTCTTACCAATCAGGCTCCACACATAATAATCTTCCACTTTAAGGCTAATTTGCAACCACCTCTTCTCCAAATTCGCACCATTTTAGTGTTGCTCACCCCCGATCTCGACCTTCCTGAACTCCAACTGAAGTCAAGCATAGCTTCATTTTCTCAACAGTTACAACCTTCGTCAGCATATCTACAAAATTCTGAGTTGTATGCATCTTCTTCAAAAATAATTAGACTTCTTCTAGGAGAGAACAAATGAAGTGATACTTTAGTTGAATATGTTTCGTTTTGGCATGAAAAGTGGTATTCTTAGCTAGATGAATAACACTCATATTATCATTATAAAACTTTCAAATCGCTTGCTCCTTAAATTTTTCATAAAGCTAGGTAGCTAAATCATATCATTGCTAGCCTCAGTGATAGCAATGTACTCGGCAATAATCTTCTGCAACCTGGAAACCCAACTCAGTGTTATGTTCCTCAATGTGAAAACAAACCCTATTGCACTTCCAAAATAATTTGTCATGTTGGTTGTCCCACTCAAGTATCTGAGAATCCACTTCACTGTCTCGCAATAATATTTGTATGGATTACTCATGTGCCTACTGACTACTCTCACTACATGTACAATTGCATGCATCAGACTTCCAATAGCCGAAGCACACAGAGTTCTTATTAGTGTTTGTTTTGCTTCAGACTTAAATTAGTGTTGCCTCACTTATTATGTTGAATATGTGAAGAATCCTTTCAACATATTCTGCATGAAACAACTTCAAAGTATATACACACTTGTCCCTACTGATTCTCATACTGAAGATTTTCTTAGTTGGACTTAAATTCTCCATCTCAAACACCCTAGATAATTGCTCTCTCAAGTCTTTGATTTTCTTCATATCTACTCCTGCAATCAACATGTCATCCATATATAATAGAAACACAATATAACAAGTACCAAACTATTTGATGAAGCAATAGTGATCAGCTTGGCACTTCATGTACCAATAGGTACATGAATCTGACATAAACCTAAAAAATCTCGTATACCACTAACCCGGTGTAGGCTTTAAATCATAAATGTTTTTTCTTGAATCTCCATATCATGTCTTCTTTTTCTGGAACTTCTTATTTCTTCGATTGCACCATATAGAACTCTTCTTCTAAGTCGTCATGCAAAAAGTTGTATTTATATTCATCTGCTCTAGATGAAGGCCTTTCTCAGTTACCAAGCTCAGCACAACTCTGATAGTTGTCACCTTCACTACTGGAGAATATTTCTCTGAGTAGTCCACTCATTCCTTTTGCTGAAACTTTCACAACAAGCATTGCCTTATAATGATTGCTACCATCCGACTCTTCTTTCAACAAGTAAATCTACTTGTTTGCAGTGTCTTTTTATCATCTGGTAATTTTGTCAAATCCAAATCTGATTTAACATCAGTGATTGCAACCTTTCACTCATTTGAGTCTTCAACTTGAGTGACTCTTCATAGCATTCGGTTCACCACTATCAATTTACAAAAAAAAGAACAAAGAGAAAAAAAAAACATTCTCTATCGGTCGTGCGGTCGTTAGACCTCCAAACTTCAGTAGCATGTGACTGAGAAATTTTCAGTGCTTCATCAGATTGAGCACATCTCCTTTCTCCATCTTCTTGATCATCATTACCATCTATCTCGACATATTTGGAAGAAAGTTTAGAAGTAATTGATAAACTATCCTAAGCTTTGTTCCTATCTTTGTACATCTCCCTTTTATTGAAAGTAACAACATCGATCCTAATAAACTTTTTATTTTGATAATCCCATAATTTGGGTACACCCAAATTCATTTGAGTCATGCCGAATGAAATGTACTGAACTGATTTTGAATCGAGCTTACTTCTGGATTCTACATCAACATGAGCATACGATGAACAACCAAATACTCTCATGTGAGATAGATTTATCTCCTTATCACTTCAGACTTCTTACAGTAAGCCTTCATTTAAAGATCCTAACAGACCACGATTTATCAGAAAAATTATAATGTTCACTGCTTATGCCCAAAACTTTTTTAACAAGTATGCATGCAAACTCATACTCCTAGCATGCTATGTGATGATTCTACTGATGCGCTCAGCCACACTATTCTGCTGTGATGTCCTTGGAGTAGTGAAATCATGCTCGATTCTTTTTTATGAACAGTAACTCCTAAACTCCAGATCATGATAAGACGCTTACACCTCAATTCTATCTAATTCTCAATCATGGTCTTCCAATTCTTAAATACTTCAAATGCATCATATTTGAGTTTCAAGAAGTACACCGATACTTTTATGATGCAATCATCAATGAAAGTGATAAAGTATTGGGAATCTCCAATAGACATAACTAGAGTTGAACCTCATACATGAGTATGCACTAACTTCAACTTTTTGGATTTCACTTTTGACCCACTTTTGAATAAAGTAACCTTCTTTTATCTGACAGAAACAAACTTTTCACAAAAATCTAACTCTATAGACTTTAAACCATGAAGTCTGTTCAAAGAAAAAAAAATTATACCTTTCTCGCTCATATGGCTAAGTCTGCGGTGTTCAAAACTTGCAACTAACTTTATTCTAACTACATCAATGAATTCAAACATCTAATTGATTAAATAAAGAGTGTCTTCAATATTACCCCGAGCCATCACCATTGTCCCCCTAATCATCTTCCACGAATCACCTGTAAAAGTAGTCCATACCTTGACGTTGCAAACTCACTCACCAAGATCAAATTTCTCTTTAAACATGGTACATATTTAACTTCATTGAACATCCAAACCGTTCCATTAGGCAACCTGATATCTATATCACTATTTCTAACAATATTGTACGTCTTGTTATCTCTCAAATACACCTCAAGATCACTTTAAGCATAGTTTTTAAACGCCTTTTTGTTGCGACATGCATGAAAAAAAAAACATTTGAATCCAATATTTATAATTCAGTTCTATCTTGGAAAAAAAACAAAAGAGTTCCCTTGGATTTCATCTGTGGAGACATTTGTAGAGAGCTTCCAATCTGGACATCCACCACCAACCTTATTCAAACTTTTACATTACTTGAAGTGGCATTTTTTCCAGCAGTTCCAGTATTCACCTATGTCATTTCCTCTCCCTTATCTGGACTTTCCGCTCCTAGACTTGAATCATTCCCTGCTTGTGTTTCTATTCAGATTCCTTTTATTTTCAACATTCAGTGCATAATTTGAGGGTCCACCGCTCACCTTAAAAAAAAATTTTAATCTGCACTAACCCCACAATGTCATTAAAATTTAACTTCATATTACCAGAAGAGTTACTCACCTCCAAGACTAGTCCATCCCAATTATCTAGCAATGAAGATAAAACTAACAGTGTTCTGACATCGTCATCAAACTTGATACTCACAAAACACAACTAGTTTATCACAAAATTGATATTATTTAAATGTTCAGACACTGAGTATCATCCACCAACTTAATATTGAGCAATCTTTTCATCAGAAAAATTTTATTTGAAGTCGCGGGCTTTTCAAACATTCTTGTAAGTGCAGCCATGAGATCTACAATATATTTTCCATTTACAATGTTGAATACAACAAATAAAAGAAGTGAGAGACGGAATAAAACTAGTTTTTTTCGATCAAGCACTTCACATTCTTCCAATGTCATCGGTTTAAGCTTCTTGGTGATTCCTTCTAATGGAAAATACAATTTCTTTTGATAAAATAAATTTTTTATTTTCATTATTCAGAATACAAAATTCGTACTATAGAACTTCTACAAATCGTACTTTGCTTCGCCAGTGATTGCTCTAACGCGAATCAAAGATCTTCAAGAAAATCTCACTATGATACCACTTGTTGTGATGAAACTGCAGAAACCGAGTCGAGAGATTCGAAGCAAAATACTTGCAAATTAACACACAAAATAATAAAACACAAGAAATGATGAGAGCAACAACATTTAAGTGGAAAACCCTAAGAACAGAAAAAAATCATGGAGCTACACCACACTAAGAAATTCACTAAAAAAAAGGAGAATTATAAAGATCACACCTCTCGAGCCTCTCTACTCTCCTAGAACTCACAGATACTCCTCTCCTTTCTCTTCACACAAGAACTAGCAAAAATCTAACCCAAACTAGCAGCACTGCTTCATACTATTCACACGCACCTCCCGCGACGAAGAAACAAGGAACTTAGGAATTGTTTGTTTTCTTGAAAATAAAACGCAATGTAACAGGTTTGTAGAGTACTATGATTACAACATATTTGAAATACTTTCGAGTTGTTTGATTCACTATAAAATAAACGTAAGACTATATATATATATATATATATATATATTGTTTGAAGTAGATTAAAAATAATGTAATTCAAAATATATTTCTTTTGTGCGGTAGCGACGGGCCAGGGGGCTGAGGTGGTGGCGCTAGGCAGTAGACGACAGTGGCAGGGCAACAAACACCAACATATGTAGGCGATAGATGGTCGGTGACTGCTGCGGCGAACGACTAGAGTCAACGAGAGGGGGATGTGACTTGCCTATACCATTTTACATGACCGGTGTAAATCAAATTTGGCCAACTCAGCCGAATTCTAATTTCAACTAAAATAAATTATGGTAAACTTCAACAAATTCATTTATATTTTACAATTATTTGTAATTCTCATAGCAAACACATAATTTTCTCAAATCTCTGCATAAAAAATTACAGCACAACACAAATTAACTCAACCAAACAACCTCTTAAAATCTCGAACTGCAAGGTTTGGTTACAAGCGCCTAGGCTCCATCCCTGGGAGTCGAGTTTCCAGCATCAATGATCCAGAATACTAGAAAAGAATCTTCTGTACACCGAAGGGCCCCTACCGGTGATGGGTTTCTGCCTAGGAACTTTTGGTCGGGCTCCTGCTCCTGGCACTGGCCTACCCACCACCAAGCACGAGGGCACCCCCTAAGCGCTGCATTGTTCCTGGGCACTTCTCCTTGCCAATCAGGCTCACACATAACAATAGCATTTTACATAACTTTGAAGTAAAATAATACAGAAGTTTGGCACCATGATAAAAACTTGGCAACATATTTATAAGACTGGAAATACAAATATGCAACATAGGCAGTTACTTGACAAACCAAGCTTAGATACCTTGACAATAGCTAGAGCGGCAGAAATTGGATCTCTGATTCCAAGAACAGTCCAAATGAGTGAGTTGTCAGATCCAGCAGGGATGATACCAATTGGGATTGAAATGGCTTCTTTCTGATCAGTTCTGCTTAGCAAGCCATTAAGAACCTGCATCACACAACCAACAACCAAAAAAAATCTGGTCATTACAACTTTTTAGCTTCATTAATATCACAAACTTTGATAAAAAAATTAATAAATTAGGCAGCACATGTTATTGTAGTGTAAAAACTCATGATATCAACCAAAAACTCAAGATTAAGTCCAAGGGATTATTAGCTACTCTGGTGGAGGAAAAATATGGAAACTTACCTCATTCACAATCCCATCACCGCCAACACATATTATTCCTACAACAGAGAAAAAATATCTTATGATAATAGATAATACATTTAATGGAGTGAAGCTGTATTAATATCAGTGCATGATATGGAGTTTAATACCATCAGGGCAAGAAGTGAAATCAACATTGGAGGCAAGCTTTCTCGCATGACCAGCTGATGTTGTTTTAACCACATCCATTTCAAAACCTGCAAGCTGACAACAAATAATATATAAACAAATGAGATGAAAAAACACAAGGAAAGAGCCAAGCATGTTCATGAGTCCTTTTTTTAAATATTATTACCAAGTATCATGCATAAATCTATTTCAGCTGATCAATGTAATTTATAGTAAGGCTGATAATCAACATGACTTCATGAGAGTATACCCATTAATTATTTTTTGTACTTTTATGAACATTCAATCCTTATTTGCCTGATACCATGGCTATGCAAAGGTAGTACAGAATAGTCGGATCAGGCAAGGCTTCCATGCATCTGTAGAGCAGCACCTCTGAATGTTCATAGAGAACTGAATGAAAGCCCATTGTATTATACAACAAAGAAGCATGATCAACAGTGTACAGATATGACACTTTTCTATAAGTGCCACCTTGAATATCTCAAAATGTAATAATTGGATTTTTTTTTTTTTAAATTACTTGCAGGAACCTTTCAAATTTTTAAGTCATGTTAATTTGACATCAAATTTGCTTAAGAGAATAGTAGGAAGGTGTTTTAGTGTCGTCATAGACAACAAAAATTCTCAACCACAGATTAAAGTGCCAGGTCTATGGTGATCAAAGAGGCTGATTGCAAGGAATAGATACAACAAGTATTGTTGTGGTATTAAATTGATAAAATATAATAAAAAAAGATAAGTGTGGAAAGGGTAAATTGCTTTTATTACAAACCACTACCACACTCATAATAGAGTACCAACAAATAGAGAATGGAGCCTAATAAGGTTCTATTAGAGGTTTGAAAATCAGATATCCTCCATAAAAACCACGTCCCCCATCCATACAACAGTAACTTTCTATGGAGACTGAAATTCCTTTTCTCAATCCTAACTACTCCGAATTCTAATAAAATCGTGGAGATGATATCCTCTAATAACGTCAGATCATGAAACTGGCAATATCGAAAAGAACCATTTCTTCAAGTTGTGTTTTTAAGAAAACAAATGTACAGATGTATACCTCTCCCATCACTTGCACATCCTTTACATCTTCCCAGCTTACCAATTCTTCTCCTACTCTCTTTAAATTCCCCCATAAGTAAACAGGGAAAATAGCAAAATATCGTCATGATGAGCTGCAGCAGCAATTATATCCATGCTTAGAAAAGTGCTTCTCAATCACAAAAAACAGTAGCAGCACCTCTTTTTCACTTTTGCATAAGCACAATCAGCAAGGGTGTGCACTCATTGTTTTAAACTGAAAAACCAAGCCTAACCAATTATATTTGGTTGGATTTGGTTTGATTTGTTAAAGGATGACTCGGTTTTTTGTTTGAAACAAGGGTTATTTGGATTGTGATTTTTGGTTCACTTTTAGAAAAAAAATTGATTAAACCAAAAACCAAAATGTCAATAATAAAAATATAATTCTAAATAATCGATATATCATAATATATATAGATACATAATTTGATTGGTTTCTCATTTTTTTATTATTATATAACTAGATTTTGATCGTTGCATTATCAAAACCAAACTTTTACCCTTCTTACTCCAAAATTTGGATTAAGAAAACTGAACTATTTTGTTGTTCGATTATTATTTGGTCAATTTGGTTCTACCGATAACTATGCTCGGCTCACTTGGTTTTCTAAGATCTGTTAACCTCAACATCTGAACTGACCAAAACCTCACCCCTGGTCTGTTAGTAAAGCTCAAGTGGACCAAAATGTTCCAGCTCCAACAAGACATTGCAAATCAATTTGTAGAAAAAACAATAGTTCACCACACGCTTTACCATCCTGGCAAAATTTTCTGCCTTTCCACCTATGATATTTTTTTTGGTTTATTCAACACCATGAGTAGTAGCATGTGGTCACAAATATCAAACAATTTTAAAAATTGCAAATCTATTATTAATTTCCCAGGAACATGTTTATCAATCATGACAGCAAATGATAAGTTCCAATATGCCCATAAAAATGCTGGAAAGCATCTAGTAGCATTAAAATAGAGGATACAGCTTCAATCATAACTCTAATCAATCCGGATTTGAATCATGGAAGATTTTCAGCATTAGCGATAACTGAAAATCATAAAGCAAAGAGTATTTCATATAGAGTAGTTTTGTTGAAAGCTCATAAGTTCATTGTTTTGTTCAGAGAAACATAGAGTAGTTTACTAAACATGCACAGCATCAACAAATTCAGTCATTTTCTAAGTTCAAAACAGAAATACAATAACAACGGTAAAACCAAAACCCACCTGAAAAATTGCTTCCACTTTGCCATGGAAGACTTTACTTGATCGACCACGTCCAGAGCAAGGATTTAGTATAATGAGCACTTTTGGTGGAATTCTGCATTTGATGGTTGGCTCATCATACAGAGGTTCAAAGACAGCAATCTCAGCGGCAGGTTCCTTTTTAGATACCATAAGATGAGGTAAGCAATTAACAAAAAAATGTAGATCTGCAAAAGCTTTAACCCATTGGATGGCTTCTTCTGAAGTAGAAGAACAAAAACGAAGGTCCTTCCTGCTTCTTTTAGGCTTAAAAAAACAAGAAAGCCCATGTTTCCACTTTATGACTGGGTATGAATGCACTGTAAAACAACGCACACCAACAGTATATGATACCTAGCAAAACATAATAATATTTTAGGAAGAATAGCTTTAAGGGAGGATGCATATGATCAAATAATTTTTTTTCTTACAACTTACAGATATAACATCCTCAAGTCCTAACATATGAGAACCCCAAATCAATGCTTTCCTTGTAAGCTTTGCTTCATCAAAAGCTGCAGCTGTTGCTTCTGGCACAGTTTGCTCATTATGAACAGTTCTATATTTTTTATCATGAAAAAGTTTTCCAGAGAATACTTCAAATTCTAACAAGTCAGATTGTTCATCTCCAATATCAATTCTATGCTCATGGGACTTGGCCTTTTCTGCATCATCTTTGACAATATCAGATCCACTTGGCCTTTGTGCTTTTACTTTCTCTCTGGTTTCTGGAAAAATAGTAGGGGAGGACTGTTGTGTCATTGGGGCTTGGGAGCGCCGGCTTCCCATGTGACGATCCAAGTGTCTCTGCACAATCCTTGGAGGAGTTGGCAGACGTTGAACAAACTATCACATATATGCCTTTTTCTTGAGTAAATGTCAGATACATGAACCTGAATTAAACAGAATGTCTGAAGTTATAAGGTAAAACAATCCTTGGAATGAATTTTCAATTGATTTTGAGATTATAAAAATTGGTTTAAGGTGTGTACAAACAGAAGGCCTACATTTCTGGTGAACAATGTTCTATCTTCTTTCTTTTCTTCTCCACTTCCTTCTTATTCAACATTTACAGTACTGGTTTGAAAGTGATACTGTTTAGTTAGATCTACTATATTTTGGATTTCCCTACACTGAATCTTTTTTATCTTTATTTTCATCATTAGTTTCTAGAAGGTCAAAACATTTTTATTCTTAGTCAATTCCTGTGATGTTTTGGTCTTCATTACATAGAGATTAATTATTTTGAATTAACAATTGCAAAATTTGAGTGTTTGTTGTATACTTTTAAATAATATTTGTTAAAAATACATTAGAAATTCCAGAAAACCATGTCAGCAGTTCACATGGAGAATCGCTTACAGTACCATAATAAGAGGATAGTAGAAGTGGTGATGCAAAATATTCACTAAAATTAGAGTTGGAAAATCACATATCGCACAATTGGAAAAAAACAAGTAATGAGGCTTCAAAAAGCCAAGCCTAAATAGTTAGGATAAGATTAATAAGCAACATACGTACCTTTAAAGTTATACAGAAGCTAACATCAATAAGTTAACAACATAGCATCTGAAGCAACAGCTCAAAACCAAATAAAAACTAACTGATAAAATGACTCAAAAAAACATATTTTTTAAATCAAATTACACATATTAGACGTTTTCTTCCATCGCCGAATAAATAATTCGTAGAGGAGCTTAACGGCGTAAGAAATTAAAGCTGCGTATTTCAAAAAATATGGAGCAACGAGGGCAGTAAAGTGTTCTCAGATGCTGTGAATTCGAAATTACAGCTGAAATAATGATCACGAAGAAAAGAATATGCAAGCGCAGGAAAAAAGCTCATGCCAAACCTGCTTACGGGCGGGCTTGTATGATCATTCGTTAGAAATCGAGAGCTAATTTGAGCATCATTTCCCAATAATGCTCGAAATTTCCAAAAAGAAACTCATCCCAAAGACAGCCCTTCATTATTTTCTAGCTAAAGTTTCAACCTAACGATTCCTTTGTTTATAAAACAAGCTCACAATGAGGAATCAGAATTCAATCTGAATTCCAATTCCACAAAATTAAGACCAGAAGAAGTCAATTACAAGAAAAACTGAAGACAACGTAAAAACAAAGAGCATACAGAAAGAACCAGCAAGGCGAATGCCCAAATAACGAGGTGACCTAGGTCGAATTCAAACATATTCCCACCTTCTCACCGCAAACGGGAAACCAAATCCAGGAACCCTAGGCTCCGCGGAGGGATCCATGCCTGAAATACTCAATAAGATAAAACTTCGGTATGGGAAGAAGAGAAAAGGAGAGATTTTGGGCTTTTTCTGTTCATCTTTTCGCTTTTCTTCTCACTCTGTCGACGCCGGCGTGCCGGTGGCGCCCGTCGAGGGAGATAGAGAGGACGAGGAACAACGTACAGGTCGGAGATATATAAGTTATAATATGTAACCTGGGAAAATTCAGCTCCAAATTATTGGTTTAGTGATATTATCCAAATTATCCATCATTCACATAAAAAGGAAAAGCATAAAATGTTAAGCTTTTCCATATAAAAATTATATTGAAACAAAACTAATGGTTCTACGCGAGACCTTTTTAACAGAATTGCTAATGTATGGTCAAATATTTGATAGCTTTATTGCAACCCATGCTTACATAAGGTCTATGTATATTCAAATTCAGGTGGGGCATGTTCGTCAAAGGATATGTCAACATTGGGAGTAATTGGGTTACTTGTCAATCTGGTATACCTCTCACCAGTTCTCAACTCAACCTAAAGACCTTGAGAGCTCATTTATGCATTAGCTCGTCAGCTCGAATAAGGTCGTCAACTAAGTCACTAGCCCGCCTACTTAGCAGCTGCACATCCTATGAGACAACATAACACACCGGAATATTACGTATTCTAATGTATTTTTTTATGTTTTTTTACTAGCAAATTATGTAGCATAATCAACCTCACCCAAAATCTAAAAATGAATGGTCCGAACTAATATTTGGACACATGTTATTATGTGCTAAGAGAGACTAACATATGCAATCTTATACTAGAAACTCCGCTACACACTATCTATGCTTCCTTTCGGAACAATAAAATCCAAAGAGCCTTTCTCATTCTAGGATCCATTTTTTCTTTATTTTCTCCCTCTATTAAAGACTCCATTTTCTCTTTAAGTGTTTCTATCAAGGTGGTCTAAACCATCAAACAATTCACAGTTCAACAGTTAAAAAATTGGTTAGAATTTTGTTATCATAAATCCTTATATAAGGGATTCCTTATAATAAGTCAATGTAATTGCGTGAAACATGTTATATGAATTTCTTTTGAAGCATATACAAAGATGAAATTCCAAATTTGTAGGTAGATTTGATTTGAGATTCAGAGGGGATTGATGTCGCATCGAACTCGCTTCGATAAACGACTCCTAACTTACCACTTATTAGGGGTCCACCCCACTAAAATCCCTAAAAATTCCGGAACATTTTTTTTAAGAATGATTAAACAAGAGGTTCTAGAATCAAGGGAGTAGTTGATTATATCTGCTTAAGAAAAAAATGGGGAGGAGATATCAATGGAAGAACAATAGTCTAGCCCACGAGGGACATAGACACACTACCGATGTTTGAAAACAAAATCATCTGGTCAAAGATAGAGAGAGGAACTAGTCCTAGTGGAGTCTCCATAATTTGTTGGTCAGAATTTTGGGTTGGTCAGTTTAAAAATAATATTTAAAGTAATATAGATATGTCATTTTGAAAAGTAATGTTTTGATTTTGAAAGATATGGAATCGAACAAATCCCATATATCTAATAGTTTACATAACCAAGCACAATACTACAAGTAATATACTACCCCTAAGGATAAACATACTACTTGATTACGGCTCAATTAAATAAGCTAAAGTAATTTATGACATCCGTTTAGTCTGCGAACATTTTATGTATGACCGACAAGTTTCCCTACCTAATATAAGAGATTAAGTAGGGTTTATTTCACTGTGGTTCTTAATTTCCTATAGAGGCAAGCCCCCTATAGTTAATTACATCTCAAATGAATGATGTCACTTAAGAAAACTCTCGATTAAGATGGTGGTTTTTGTATTCTAGATTTCAAAGTTTAAGTTTTCAAGATTTTACATGGGAAGGCCAAAAAGGAATGGCTAAAGTTGGAGCAGTTATTTAGGATTCCAAGAGAACTAATTGTAGGGGATGTCACAGATCCGAGAAAAAAACTTTGATGGCTTCCCAAACTATTCTACTGTTTGGCTTCAATTTTGTCAAATGAATGATGTCACTTAAGAAAACTCTCGATTAAGATGGTGGTTTTTGTATTCTAGATTTCAAAGTTTAAGTTTTCAAGATTTTACATGGGAAGGCCAAAAAGGAATGGCTAAAGTTGGAGCAGTTATTTAGGATTCCAAGAGAATTAATTGTAGGGGATGTCACAGATCCGAGAAAAAAACTTTGATGGCTTCCCAAACTATTCTACTGTTTGGCTTCAATTTTGAAGGTGATGTTATTTAATGTTTTAATCCTGTCAATTTTATTACTTAGGGCTTACAATTGCACAACATCCGATCATGTAAATAGGCTTGAGTATAGGAGGGTTTACGTTGTACCGAACGATAACTTCAGAATCTGAAGTCAGTTAGGACTTACAGTGCACGACAAGGTTTGTAGAAGCTTAAAGATAAAGTGAAGATTTATGTCGTGCCAAACGAACTACCTAGAAATCTAATGGCATGTTATTTAATTCTAAGGAATGGTTTAGTTGATGTAGATCATGTTATAGTTTTGATTTGTCGGTGGAAGTCCTTTATCATGCTGCCCAGAAAGTTTGCTCCAAGCTACGTATCGTAGCAATTAAGGTAATGAAGTTTAAGTGTGCATGCATTGGTTTGGTCAGTGTCATGTCATTGTGTACCACCTAATCGGTGTCAACTGTTCTCTACCCTATAATAGTGCACAGGTCTCAAAAGTAAAAGAACAGTAAAATCAATAAAAGGAACGCAATAAAGTGCACTAAAATGAAAAAAAATTAAAATAAACTTGCATATATGGGCCTTTGTTACTGCTGCAAGAAGTATTAGCACAATAAACATGGAAGAGTAGCATGCACAGAATTAAAAAAATTTTAAGAAAATCTGATGCAAGGAAAT